AACAACGTATCAAGGCAACATTTGAGAGAGTAAAGTTGTGTTTCCACAGAAAAATGACAATTGAAGGAGACTTCAAACTTTTTGTTTGTTAATTAAGAACCTTTGTCACATGTTAGTGCACATGTAATTCTGACATACAGAACACAGAGTTCATATTTCTGCTATAAATCATATCTTTCTAACACTGTTACTTGATAAGGAATCCCTTAAGTATCAAGAAAGTCAACAGTGTAATGACAGTACTGATAGTTTAAACAAATGGCCACAAGTCAGACTTTTTGATTACATGCTGATCACCTACAGACCCCCTGTTTAAAAGTTGTTCTAATCTTCGATGTCCATTTAACGATCCTAGCCATGTGCTGAGATCTGATTGGTACGTCCCAGATTGTACAACAACAAAATATCAATATCAACAACAAACATGTGTAACAAATTTCAGTTTGTTCATTATTTCGCTGGGGGAAAGGATTTCAATTAATATACTGAAACAGAAAACATACAAAAAGCATGAAACAGTATAAAAATCTTTCTGTCAAAGGTTTTTGATAATATTACTGTCGCGTGTATGTACAGTTCGTGCGTGACCACACACACACGTTCAGTGGGTACGTTGGAACGTGATGACGTCGCATGTCTGTAGGTCGACGCAGGGTTAGTGGAGTTGTTTGGGCTGTGAGAGGAGAGATCCGTAGCTGGCAGTGCTGGGAGGGTTTCAATTGATGTTGTTGCTTCTGGGCCGCACGATTCCGTTGTCATTCGCCCAGAGTCACTACTTGCTGCCAATCCTCACTGTCGAGGCTCGTTGTAGCCAGATCCGTGTTAATAAAACTCAGAGCGATAGCCAGCATTACACACAGCACCGTCTTCGTGAGCGCAAGCAACCAAAATATAGGAACCATGCCCGAAAGGAGGCCCTTCGTACGGCTACCTACTGACGTTTACCCCGTCAACTATGGTTTGTCTTTGAAGCCTGACCTGATCGACTTCACGTTTGAAGGCAAGCTGGAGGCTTTGGTGGAGGTATGTTGACCACGACACCCCCGTAGATACACAAATGGATTTATCTGTGCATGGCGGGGATCTCGTTATGTAATCTGACCAGCTAACGGTACCAGTTGCTAGCTAATTACGACAAATTGTTAGCCACTAGCCCACTAGCTGTCATTATTGCACGCGTTAGCTAATGTAAGCTGCAACGTGTTAAATGTTCTGACGGGCTCAATTTGGCCGAATTAAACCAGTGAATGAAAAAGAAACAACCACGTTATGTTTCTGTGACTAACAGTAAGCTGATCCGGACTAGCTAGCACAACAGTCCCGTGCCGCAGAGTTGCACTCTCATGTTAGCCTAGCTACCTGTTAGCCATCTGCCAGTGGCAGGCAGTGCGCTAAGTTGTGTTTTAAGAGGAGCTTGGTGAATACCAGCGACGGTAACCTCTCGTAGTAACATCCCATTGCTTTTGAGGCTGACACTTAATAATTGGCGATTCGTGAATTTGGTAAAGCGGTATCTAGCACCCAGCCAATACTCACTAGTGTTTGCTAAATCATGGCAACATCGTGTAGCCCCCTCCCACCCCAGTCCCACTAATACGGTTGAACTAGGTGAAGTTGTACATTGTACATTAACATAAACCGTGAGTACAGTAAAATGACAACGTTTTAAAAGTCATTTCGGTACGTTTGCTACTGTATCTTGTGCTCATTTGTATCTATCGATAAAATGGCTGTACTTTGTAGACTGCATACTATGTAGGACGTAAAAAGCGACTCTGTTTGTTTAACTTGTGTATAAATGGTCCCATTTTCCAGACACCTGTTAGTTGAGTGTGCTAACACCTGCGCCTGGTTGTAAACTGTTACTTAACGCACATTTTCACAGCAATCAAGTCAGATCACAGACGCTGTCTAAATATACACCATTTCCGAGAGTAACCTTATATGCTTTATGATATGCTTTACACCACTAATGGTAGTGTAAAGTGCTGCATTGTCAGGAAGAGTCATCTGTTAAAAAGATTAACAAGACACTGGTAAACTTTTGGTACAAAAGGGAACCTGGAAAAACAACACAACTAATTTTTACATGATGTAATAGCCAACCATTAATTGTGCGCAAATTCTATGAGGTGTTGTTGCAAAAGCAAAGCACAGGCACAGTTTTTTCCATGAAGAATCCTTGACAACTTGGGTTTTTATGCAAACTGATTAATTGTGACATGATTTGCCCATTAAAATTAGACTCCAAATGCCTTTAAAGAGTTTTCTTTTTTTAATTGTGAATGACCAGTTCAGATTTGGTAGACAAACGAACTTGTACACAAGTACTGTATACTCTCAGCTTCCATGTATCTTAAATAACATTGCCACAAACTGTGAATGTTTGTGTTTTTCCCTCTATGTTGGGGATTAACGTCTGCTTTTTGCACACAACTCAGAGTCCCCTAGTTGTCTACCTGTCTTGTGTTTTTGTTTTCATTTCCCTTCAACGCTGTATTTTTTATCTGTAAATTAGATTTGCTGTGTTTGCAATCTAAACAGTTTAAATTTGACTTCACAATCACTGGTACAGTTTGGTCCATTGATGTAGTTCCAAAATTAAACTTGAACTCTTCCTGATACTTGGATGCTGTGTTTTACTGAAAATGTAGAAATTAAGGCACAGCAAAGAGTCTAAGTTGACGTGTTTTATGTCAATATTTACAGGTTACACAAGCTACAAATCAGATTGTGATGAACTGTGCTGACATCGACATCATCACAGCTTCCTTTGTACCACAGGGAGGAGAAGGTCAGACTCAGTGAAACCTTGTTTTTGCGTTTATAAATGGCATTGTTGTGAATAGCATTGTCACTTCTAGCCATCTTACTTGATTTCAGGATTGAAAATTCTTAATAGCATCATTCCCCAAAGCCAACAGCGTGAGTTTTCAACATTTTCTGATCTTCTTTTTAAAATTTGTCCCTTTTAGAAATTAATGCGACGGGATTTAACTACCAAAATGAGGATGAGAAAGTCACCCTTTCATTTCCTAGTGCTCTACAGAAAGGTAAGAAGAGACTGTTGGCGGTCCCTGCTTCTGAAGCAACCGTCTGTATGACTGTTAAGAACAACAAGGACGATCATGCAGATGATCATTACTGTTATTATTCACCTCCCCTGTGGTGATGGCTGTACAAACAGTGTGTCTCTCTGTGCACGTCACCCCAGGCTTCGGCACATTGAAGATCGACTTTGTCGGGGAGCTGAACGACAAAATGAAAGGATTCTATAGAAG